AAAAAAAATTAAAATTATTTGGATCCCACTGTTTTTCAGTCTATTATAGGAGATAAACAACTGGCGCAGAATTCATAAACAAGAGTCGATTTGACACAATGTAAAACCTACCTTATTATAACTCTTGCATTTTAATATGTGACTGCAATCCCACCTGAAAATGGTTTAGGCACATTGGCTGTGCTTGTTAATAATATCTTTGACAAGATCTGTCTGTATTCTGTCTTGCATATATTCTTGGAAGTATGAAACTGTTAGTGTTGTCCCTTTTCAAAAAAAAACATAATCTCACACACCTTTGTACAATTTTCTCCAGCACTTGATGTCCTCTACTCTCCCAAATGATCTATTGCTGGTTCCTCACTCTATCTGCTCCACCATCAGTAACTGAACCTTCACATCACCATACCCCTGTCCTCTGGAACTCTTTTTCAAAACCACTTTGATTTCCTATTTTCATCCCTGCCTCCCAAAACACATATCACAAGAGCAGTTTGGATGAAGAAGATCGTTCAAGCCATTTGGCCTCATCTTTCCAGAATAACAACAGTACCATCTTGCTATCGTAGCATAAAGCTGTTCTATAAACACTGTTCTTCCTGGTATCTGTTGCAATTGTTAATTACCCTTTGGATAAAAATACTTCCTGATTTCTGTTCTGATATTGCTCTTTGTAACTCTAAACCTGTGACTCTTTGTTCCGCTGTCTCAGTGCATCTAAAAGAATTTTCCTGGGTTTATTTTCTAAACCAATTTAAAATCTTGAATACTTCTATTTGGTCCCATTCGAGACATTTCCTTTCAAGACTCTTCAGTTTTTGTAAATTGCTATTTTGTTAATAGTGCTCTTTGCTACATTTGTCAAGCCTTTGGGAATGTTCTGATACATAAAAGATACTATAATTATAATAACAAAAATAATAAAAGGTACTACTGTATTTAAAACAAGTTGTTGTAGAATCCTATAGCTTAGTGGTTAGAGCACTCACCTCGCAAGCGAGAGGACTTGGATTCAAGTCCCAGCATGTTTCCTTACTTCACAATCCTCTGTTTACCCAACAGTAAGTAGGAATAAGTTTGTTATTCGATTGGTAATTTGCTTTCCCAGGATAACAATCCCTTCACAAAATAATAAAAAATAAATAATAATAATAATTTCCTCACTCAATCCACGAATGTTTGTGGGACACTGCTGTGTGCAACTAGCTGCCGCAATTCGCCCACAAAACATACAGTCAATTCACTTTACAGTAAACTCTGTGAAGCGCTTTGAGACGTCTAGAAGACGTGATAAGGCTCTTTATCAAATGCAAGGATTATTACTATTATTATATCACTGATGGCAGTTATGTAAAGTTTTTGTTCCCTATTGTAGGATGGTATTTGATCATTAACAAAACAAAATTATTGAAAGATAAAGGAAGTGTAAATAGACCAAGTATAATATGTTTATGCTACATAATGGAAAACATGTAGCATATGTGATATTAATTATTTAACGTGCACTAAAATAAACCATACAATTGCTCTGTTTAATTGCAGAGCCCAACATATGCATGACGAAAACAAAGAGTGCTGTGAGCAATCTATGACTTTTGTGTTGTTTGGTGTATGCCAAATTTTTCTCATACCTCCTCTTCTGAAAGTACAGACTCTTCATTTTCCTTTTGTTGGTGTTCAGTTCCATGCCTATCCTCACCCACCATCTGCACACCTCTCGTAGAGTCTCTGGGTATTCAGAATCTCTGACCTGACAAACTTTACCTAACCTTGCCCCAGGGCATCAAGGTCAATATTAGTGCCCAATTCGGAAATGCTAAGTGGAGGAAAGAGCACAGTATAAATGTAAGTTGTTATTGACTTTGATCAAGTAACTTAGGAATTGAAGACTCACACACACTTGGGAATCAAACTTGAAAGCCTTCTTGATCTGTAGGGCTCAACTGAGCCAACAGAGAAGTACTTGTTATAAAAATATACAGTATGTTTAAGCATTACAAAATTAAAATGCCTTGATTTTGATTACCTTGTTTTGGCACTGGATTAAGAGTACACAATTGTCCTACAATTGTCCTGCTCCTCTGACTCTGTTCCTATCAATTTGTGTCCGACTTCTGCTCAAATCTATTGCAGAATTTCATCTTTTTACTTCCCTCAGTCTATCATTTATTCTGCAATCTTTCAAACACAAGCTCGGCATCACTTCGCCGCCACTTCTCAAGTCATCTTGTTTCCTTTTCAGCTTGCAGACTGACCATTCTTCTGAGAGTAAATCTTTGAGCCGGTCACAAAGTGGCACTTGAGTAGACCTATGCATCTGTATAATAGCACAAAAGGCATACTACAGTGGTACGGGATGAATAATTGATCCCTCTCTCTGTCACTTTTGATTCTTATGCAGAAGCTCTTGGCCTCCAAACAGCAGCTTCCTAAAGTATGACAGCTGAATTGCAGTGTACTAAGCTAAATCTGTGTCTTACCACCATTGCCCACTGTAGACAACAACAACAACTTGCATTTATATTAGCACCCCTCATGCAGGGTAGCGTTCCAGAGTGCTTAGACCCCTCATACAACAGAATGCCATTTTGAAGTTCACACACTTGATGCAGTATGATAGCACTATTTTGCCTACAAAACATTGTCACTCCAATATATCATGTTTAATGCTTTGATATTTCCTCTGCGCATGAAAAGCTATACCAAATACAAGGGATTCTTATTATTTAACAGGAAAGACAAACGGTAATTTTTTTTATCTTTTGTTTGCTGAAATCCACTGAAAGAAACAAAACTTCCATTGCAACCTTCAGAGATTTGAGAATAAGTTATGGAAATCACAGATGGGCATCACCCTGTTTGTTCATTTTCTTCATCAGATGGGTATCTGATACATGCAGAAACCCATCACCATACTTAAGCATATCTGAAGACTGAGAGTTCCACATATGTAGGTCACCCACCTACACATGGAAATGTATGTGACTGGAGTGGAATGTGCACTCTCTTCATAGAGGGACACATCTAATTCTGGACAGTGTTACGCGTAGGTTAGCAGGAGCCAAGGTTTTGGGAACCTCGGTTGGTGGGTCTGTCCTCAGCAGTGCCTATGAAGTGTGGGCTTAGGAATCAATCTATTAAAGCTACCACAGAGGGCTGACTTGATTCCAACATTTTGTTTGGAAGTATTTCACCTTGGAGCCAGCTCAGGGGCCCGCTTACAATTTTGTTGACTTGAGATTTGCCATTTACGAATCCTACAATCCAATTTTAACATTGCTATTATTGTCATCAACCTGGTTTGTGAATACAGCAGAATGCAAGGATTATTATTATTATTAGATCTCAATAGCATTGGTTTACATTTAGCCGTGCTGCAGTATTTGTGGTGATCAGTGTTTATGGATTGATTGTCAGACCCAATTGTTGAATCTTATCGGTACCTAGGGGTTGTAGTGAACACCAACTTCAGCCTGGACACTGTCCTGAAGAACTGCGCTCAGAAGGGGCAAAGGGCACAACTGTCGTGCTCGTCTCTCTTCAAGAACCGTAAGGTCCCAATGCAGGTCAGGCTTGTAGCAAATGAGACCTGTGTGTAAACAGTCCTCCTTTAACCAGGATTGAGCTGCTGGTGCTGAGTAAGCCTGGTACTTGGACTTGGACCTCAAGAACATCAAGATGGCTAGCATGTCACAAGCTGTCCTGTAAATGTCCTCTGACCACACTGAAGGCAGATACCAGCCAGATACCTGATGAGGAAACTCTGAGGCTTAGAGCGACAGCTGCTGGAAAGCGTTGGAGTCCGAGTTCGTGAATCCACCTTGATTGGCCTGCAGCGAGGCAAGCAGATGCTACTTTAACTCTGCACCTCAATTTGTGAAACCATCACTCAATGGGAAGGCATGTGTACCAGAGCGGCAGACAGGAAGACGGTGGCAATGCTCTCACGCATTTCATGCTGAGATGCGTTGCTCACCAGGAAGCTCGCAAGGAGTTTTTGGTACCTGCCATCCACCAGTGAGGGCTCAAATGCACGCTTGTTGGATGTCAAACAACCAACTAGTGACTATCCTCCTTGAGGAGAGGTAAGCGGAGTCTCCTTGGAGCTGAATTGGCTCTAAGGTAACATGCCTGGCAACGGAATATCAGAATTGAGCCAGCCCTCTGTGGTGGTCTCGGTAGTCCGTTTCCTGAACCAGGTGGGTCCGCAGTATTCCAGGGCACTGCTGATGACATCACAGCCAATCTGGCTCATCGGCAGGACCTGGAAGGGTAGACCAGGGCTGGGGGCAGTTAGTCATCCTGCTCACCTCTTGTTAATCCTGCAAGCCAAAGCCCTAACTGGTAGGGTGGTCCGAGCTAGATAAATGCAGGAAAGCTTGTCAGACAGCAATATCAATAGCAAGCTATGTTGNTTAGCTGGTTAGACTCCAGCAGTTATCACAATGCACACAGTCGTGGATTGAGTGACCAAATTATTATTATTTTTTGAAGGAATTATTACCACCTGAAAAGGGATCCACCAATCGACTAACAACCGGGTTCCTACTTAGTGCTAGGTAAACAGAGGCGTGAAGAGTAAGGAAACTTGCCCAACATTTCGCCCTGCTGGGAATCAAACCCAGGTCTCTCACTTGCGAAGCGAGTGCTCTAACCATTGAGCTACAGGACTCCATAAACTGGAAAACTCTTTTTACTATGATCAGTGTGAACCAATGGATGGAAAAGGGATTTCAAAATCAAATTTGACAATCTGGGGATTGTTATAATAATAATAATCCTTGCATTTGATATAGCGCTTTTCACGTCTTCTTGACATCTCAAAGCACTTCACAGAATAGACTGTAAAGTGAATTGACCGTATATTTGTGGGCGAAACGCAGTTGATGGAGGCAAAATAAAGACCAGAATGTTGTTTGAAGCAATTTTTGTTTCTTTGCTAAGAATGTAATTTGAGGTCCATCTCCAACCTAATTTATTTTTGTGTTGACCATTTCCAGACCTTTACTGCTTGGTGCAATTCACAATTGAGGAAAGCTGGTACACAGATTGAAAATATTGAAGAAGACTTTAGAAATGGCCTTAAACTTATGCTGCTTTTGGAAGTTATTTCAGGTAATTTCATCCACACTTGTTTTCAATTGTGTCACATGAACAACATGTTTCACTTGTATATTGCCTTTCACCTGAGATGAGTATATCAAACTGCTGCATGTCAAGAGGAGAATCAATTTGAGATTATTGAGCGAAAAACAGCAAAATAGATGTTTTTAAGAGGGGTTTGAAGGCGGGGAGAAAGTAACAGAAATTTGGGAATATAGTTGCTGAGGATTCAGCTACTGATGGTGGGATGAGCAGTAGACCGACATGAGGAATAGAGCTGAAGGAGATTGCAAAGGAAGGAAGGGATAAAATCGTAAAGGGATTTTATGGGATGAGTGTCTGTGCTGATGCAAAGGAAGACTCTACCTGCTTTAAAGATGATGCGTTTTCAAGTAACAGCTGTCATCAAATGTTCTGAACCATTTCTTCTGTGTTGGTAAATCATAATGTGCCATCCCCATCGTTTTATGCTTATTTTTATGTATAGGCGAGCGACTACCCAAACCAGACAAGGGTAAGATGCGCTTCCATAAAATTGCCAATGTCAACAAAGCACTGGACTACATTGCAAGCAAAGGAGTGAAGCTTGTGTCAATTGGTGCTGAAGGTAAATTGTTCTTTAAAAGTTGATTCCAAGTGTTGTAAAAGAAGCTCATTAAAAGGCCAGCTTAGAGGCTGGACCTTCAGAATGTGCTTGTGTGTGTGAGTGTCCACCTATCTGTCTGTGTGAGTGTGTTTGAGGGAGGATCTAGAAGTGTACCTTTTTTACACAACCTTTTTTGAAACTACTCAGAACAACTACTACGGCTTTCCTGAATTAGGCAGAAAATATAGCCCAAGATTTTCTTGCCTCTTTGCACATTTTCTAAAAGAAGGAACATCTGAATCCATTTGCCTATTGTTTAGATTCTCAACTTTCCTTTTTTTCCCCCCCTCCCTTAGATGACTCTATAAAGTTTCACCCACAAAATATACATTTTATAGTACATTCTGTGAAGCACTTTGGGACGTCTCAAAGATGTGATAAAGCAATATATCAAATGCAAGGATTATTTATTTATATGTTCCACATACTGTCATTGATGTTCTGTGACATTCGTACTGAATGAATAACAATTGTGATTAAAATCATTGACAGGTTTTGTTGATTATCTGAAATGTTACCTTTAATCGATAAGTAAGATCTGCACGTTGAGTAGTGTCCTCTAAAATAATTAACAGCGGACACACAAGTGGGGAGGTTAGGAGATTTTATTTTACACACATTTTGTGTAGCTGGGAAATGGAATGCCCTGCTGAGCGCAGTGGTTGAGACAAATCCATATTAGCTTTCAAAAGGGAACTAGATAAATACCCAAAAAGGAGTAAACTATAGGGGAGATAAGCGGGACTGAAAGCTAGCACAGACTCAATGAGCTAAATGGCTGTCTTTTGTGTCATACATTTGTATGGTTCTATGGGTCAAAAGCATCTGAAACTGACCTTTTGTTGGAATGCACCTCAAACATGAATTTGTTTTCTCTTTCAGATGCCAGCTTGGATGTCTTAACACGCTCTTGTCTATTTCAGATTACCAGCACTTACAGACTTTTTTTTTCTTCCAAGCCTATTTTTAACCATATTAAAATGTTTATGGAAATCGTGTTTCATAGGAACATTGTACTATAAGCATTTTGTTTATCTCCTATAGAAATAGTAGATGGGAATGTGAAGATGACGCTGGGTATGATTTGGACAATAATTCTCCGCTTTGCTATCCAGGATATATCTGTGGAGGGTAAGTGAAGCAAACCTCTGTGTTCAAATAATTCAACAAAACCAATGGACAAAACCCTTACGATTACTGCAGGAGGGGTGGGGGTGGGGGAGAGTGGAGGGAGGACAGGGAGATGTGACCTGGTGTCTAAAACAACAGCAGGTAAAAATTTGTATAGTCTGGTCTTCCAAGTTTTTGCACATTTTTTTAAAAAAAACCTTGGCTTGATGGCTGACACTGGCAGATCATGGAAAACTGGAAAACGATAAAAATATCTTATCAATCTTGGCCCCTTTTGATTAGAATCTTCTAAATTATGGAATTCTTCTGGTTCATCAAACTGACATTTTATTTTCTGTACAGAAACTTCTGCGAAGGAAGGCCTACTGCTCTGGTGCCAGAGAAAGACCGCTCCCTACAAGAATGTCACCGTACAGAACTTTCATACAAGGTAAGTTGGGAAGATGTAGATATATATGTTAATCACGAAAAGTTGCAATTTGGAAGCTGATTTTCACGAGTTCTTACAAAGAATTGGCTTAGAAATTGAGACTACATTTAAAAATGTTCTGTAATTGTACTGATCTTAAAATTGTATAAGACACAATGTCCCTACCGGGTAAGACCATTAGGTGGAATTTTGAACCTGCTGTCCTCCAGACAGCACAATGCTATTAAGTAGAGCACTGTTGATAGGAACGATGGAAATTCTCCTCTTGGATGTCTTATGAAATGTGCAGTTCTAAAACACTTGCTTCGCATTGTATGAAGTGGCCAAATCCTGGATTTTATCTGGAATGTGTACTCCAGCTTCATGATCCATGTATAGCTCCACAGTGGACTTACTGAGCCCATCCCTGTGGAAAAGGGGGTAAGGCAAGGCTGCCCATTGTCACCCATCCTGTTCGATGTGTTCATCATCCACGTGTTGGATGGCATTGAGGGGGAAGGACTTGGTGTGTCTGTTCCAGGCCTCTCCAACAGGATTGCAGCACTTCTGTTTGCGGATGATATTGTGCTGCTGGTGGACTCACCTGGCGACTTTCTGCACTGCACTCACCATCTTGAACATTGGGCCAACCAGTGGGACATGGAAGTAGGCGCCCCCAAGTGCAGAATCATGATTCTACATGGCTCAAGGGAAGGCATGGAGGAAATTGATTGGAAAATACAAGGGGCATCAGTCCCAATCATTAACTCTTATCGTTGACCTTGGGATTGTAGTGGACACCAACTTCAGCTTGGACACTGTCCTGAAGGACCTCGCTGAGAAGGGGCGAAGGGCACTCATCCCTCTTCAAGCACAAGAATGTCCCAATGCAGGCATACGAGACCTGTGTGCAAACAACCCTCCTTTATGGATCTGAGCTCCTAGGGATACAGCGGAGAGGCTTCCTCCGACCCAACTGTAAAGTCCAGGATCAAACTGTGAGGTGGATTTGTGGCAAACACGGAATGCGGTTACAGGAAGGAAGGGCTCCAGTCTACACAGACCTGTCACTAGGCACCCTGGATGTGGAAGAGGCTTCACAGCAGGCACGACTATTTGCCAAGGCCCCTCCCATAAGGATCTGGATTGAGCAACTGGTGCTGAGTAGGCCTGGTACTTAGACTTGGACCTCAAGAACATCAAGGTGGCTAGCACATCACAAGCTGTTCTGTGAAAGTCCTCCCACCACACGGAAGGCAGATGCCCCCTTCCCAGACATCTGATGAGGAAACTGAAGCTTGGGGTGACAGCTGCTGGAAGGCATTACCCGGAGTCCAAGTTCGTGAACACACATTCGTACATGTTCCAGTGCCTGGAATCCACCTTGATTGGCCTGCAGAGAGGCAAGAAGCTGCTGGTTAAACTCCGCACCTCCAATTGGTGGAACCATCACTCAATGGGAAGAGATGTGTGCCTGAGCTGCGGACAGGAAGACGGTAGCAATGCTTTCCCACATTACATGCTGAGATGCGTCGCCCACCAGGAAGCTCGCAGGGAATTCCTTGTACTAGTGAGGACTCAAACTTGCTCACACTATTGACTATCTTCCTTGGGCAGGGTGGGTCTTCCTGGAGCTGAACTGGCTCCAAAGTGACATACTTGGCGATGGAATGTCAGAATCCAGCCATCCTTCTTTTGCGGTCTTGGTAGTCCGGTTCGTAAGACAGCAGTATTCCGTGGTACTGCTAAACCCAGCCCAGCCTGGCTCATCGGCAGGATCTGGAAGGGCAGACCAGTCATTGGGGGCAGGGAGTCATCCCACTCAGCCCTTGTTAACCCTGAAAGCCAAAGCCCCAATGGGAAGGGTGGTCCTATCTGGACAAGCAGTGGGAAAGCTTGCTGGACAGCAATATCAATAGCATGCTATGTGGTTTAGCTGTTTAGACTCCAGCAGTACCCAACGCACACTTTGGGATCCCCAAGCCTTGGCTCTTGCCAACCTGCTCCTAATACTTTCCGAAATTAGTTAAGGTAAGCAGGATGCGTCCGTCAAGGGAGAGAATGTGCATTCCATTCCAACAATCTATCTCTGGGATTTCCATGTGTAGGTGGGAGGCATGGAACTCTGTTTGGTTTGGATACTCTTAAGCATGGTGATGAGTTTTCGCATTGTGTCAGACACCTGGCTGACAAAAACATTTATATAAAAAAAATTGTAGGAAGTAGTAGGTTAGTGTGTTAATCATCTATAATAAAGGAGGAGAACAAGATATTTGCATCTTGGTTAACAGCTTCCTCGGGTAAGTAGAAATTTCCCAATTACAATCCACATGACTCCATTCAGCTTTGCCGCACCTGAACTCATTACAGAAAGAATTGATTGCATTGCAACATCTCTGACCCTGGGAGACGTAATTTGAATGCATATCTTCATGAGTACTGGAAGTGTCTGTTCAGTGACATACCTTGGGAATGATTCTTGTCTTCAAGTTAGGCTTATTAAAAATTGGCTCCAAGTCACTGCACATTACAGTGTATCCTGTGAAGCACTTTGGCTATCCACCTGTGAAAGGTGCTCTACCAAAAGTAAGGATTGATGTTTGGATACAGTAGTGTGTCAGAATCCTCGTGTCGATGAGAAGGTCAAACACTGCTGGTTTCCCACAGCCTAACCCAGGAGCTGAGGCCAGTGAGATTCTCTGATTGTTGATATGTTTATCAGTTTTGGCAGGAGAGGGCACATTCTTCTCTTCTGGGCTTCACTGGTGATTTTTATTCTCCTCCGGTTAGTAAAGAGAGTGTGGTTTTTATAATTGGGGTTTCTGACCAATGCAGAAAAGATGGTTTGTATCTTCCAAGATCAGTAAACTAAAAGATTCACCCATTAGGTCTTCCAGCAGTGCATAATAAAACACAATGCTGATGAGCCAGGGTTTCTACTGCTGATCAGTATCCAGTGACCTCTTGCTGAAAAGTTTGTGTGGACATTGGGTGAGCATTGTTTCCAATATTCTTTATGGTCAAAGAACCAACTAGTCCTTATAGTCTGGGCTCACACATAAATAATGGTTATTTGAATTGCAGTCGTGGAACTTACTTCGTCATTTTAGCAGAGGGTTGGGGAAAAATAACCACAACTGAAAAGAACGAGAACTGAAATCTATGAATTATTGCATTCATTTATACATGTTATATCCTATTAATGTACAACATGTTTACTGAGGTAGAGTGGACACAGGAAAATTAACATGCAGAATAATTCAGTAGAAACAATTCTTGTAATTACTGATTTTTTAAAAGGTACATTTTTGTATGTAGCATCAGGTGTTTATAATCTGGCATTTTTGCATTTTGGACACTAAAATAATTTTATTGGAAGATAATGTCATCATTTCATCTTCAATTCTTGTTTGTTCCTCATTGTAAAGCTGGAAAGATGGTCTTGCCTTCTGCGCACTCATCCACAGACATCGACCTGACCTTATTGACTTCTCCAAGCTACAAAAGGTCATCTGTCTGATTGGTAGCATGCCAATGTGCAGTAGCTTGTGCTTTTTGTTTTTGCATGATCTGAGGGAAGTGGTGGCTTTTATTAACATGAGGCCTCAATGCTGCATGTAATTACCATACCAAGCTTACTACCAAAGGTTCTTGAAAGAATGTCCATTTACAAATTCTTGTTAATAAATGAGATTTGTAAATCTTACATGTTTTTCACAATCCATTAATATTGATGATACTACTATTTTTATTTATATATATATATATATATAACCAAATGCTGTGCACATAGAAGCATCTTTTGAGATGATTTTGAATTCTCTCTGGTTCTGGCTCTCTGTATTTTAGATCCTATGCTAGAGAAGGCCTGATAGGCTGAATGGCATTATATTTTATTTGCAACATGGAATTGTTGCTAAAATATAAACTTTTGTTTTCCTGATGCCAGAAGCTTTGTACGTTGAATTTAATGAAACAAAGCAGTCAAAATCCATGGAGTTTCTATCAAAATTTTAATTTAAACTCGAACATTTAATCATTTATTCAACAATTACTTCCAACCAACAGTCGGCAAAAAACAATATTCTTGCCTCAAACATTATATTTGGTCACCATTCTGTGACTAGAATATTGTTTGGTATATCTGAATTTTATACTTGAATCGTGTCAATATGGATACAGTATAGCAATATTGCTTAAAAAAAAAGTATAATTACTGATTTAATCTCAAATCCAAATCTTAAAAGGTTATTAAATTGAAATTCACTCACTTTTGCTCCTGCGATTTACACAAACTTACATTAAAATAAATATTGTTATTGATAAAGATGTTAATTTCCCCCTCTTTCATTTCCTGGTCCTTTTTCGTATTCTTTTTATATCAGTTGTTTGTCCATCTTCTCCTTCAGTTTCCAAATTCAACATCATATTTCAATTTTCGCTTTCTCCCTCTCACTGCATGCTCAATGATGTGTTCTGTTGCTCGCTCCAATGTTATCTGGTTGGTGTGTGGACACTGCATGTAGCTGGAAGGATGGACTAGCATTCAGTGCCCTTATTCACAGACACAGGCCTGATCTGATCGATTATGACATACTGAAAGAGGTATTTAACTTGCCCCTGGTTTCTGTTCATTGCACAACATTGATTAATCTTACAGTATGTTTAAAAAGATTTCTGATGAACTAAATATGTAAGTCATATATGATAGTTGTATGCTTTTGATGAATTTGAGAATGGTGATCGACTAGTGATGATCATTAGGTATACTTTGCATACCAGGGACACCGCATCAAGTATAAGTATTAGAGCTGCATTGATGTCAGCACGGGGGATACCTAAACATTGTCTTTATACAGAGTAACCTTAATGGTGCATCTGATTCTGAGGAAACTCCAGCTCAGGAAGAACAAATTAGAGCCTGCACTTAGCTCCTCCGTACTATGATACATTATAATTGACTGAATGAAAAGTTTCCCAGATTGAAGTGTCCGTTGACTATAGCAGCTAGCAGCCAGTAGGAAAACTACACAGATAATATTGCATGTGTACTGAATTTCTGTATTTTATTGAAGTGATGCACTCCATGCAGCTCTGCCAAGCTTTTATTGATTGTGTTGCACCTTCTTATTCAAAGGAGATGTTACTGAGGAACAGAAGGATAAGTACCTGGTGAACAAAACTCCAGTACCCGGTGTTGTTTTGCCCACAAAACACACAGTCAAAACCACTTTACATTATATTACATTATAACCTGTAAAGAGCTGTGAGACATCTTGGCGATGTGATAATAATAATATTAATAATAAAAATAATCCCTGCATTTGATATAACATCTTATCAGGTCTTCAAGATATATCAAAACACTTCACAAAATATACTGCAAAATGAATGGACTGTATATTTTGTGGGTGAAATGCAGCAGTCAGTTGTGCACTGCATTGTCCCACAAACAGTCGTGGATTGAGTGACCACAGTTTTTTATTTTTTTTATTTTGAATGAATTATTACCCCTGGAAAAGCGATGCACCAATCGACTAACAACCGGGTTTCTACTTACTGCTAGGAAAACAGAGGCATGTGGAGCAAGGAAACCTGCTCAACATTTCGCTCTGCTGGGAATTAAACCCAGGTCCTCTCCACTAAACTACAGGACTCCACTATAAGATGCAATTTCAAATGCAAGGATTATTATTATTACGCTGCAGGAAACATTGGCCCTGGGATTTTTGTCATGTTTTTGCAGGATCAATAGTTCAAGTATTCAGTTTGCGCCATGTAATTCCACAAGACCAGTCTTTGAAATAAGAACTTCTTGTCCTCGGCAACATCTTTATTTGCTAACCTAATGTGTAGTTTCAGAAAGCTTGGGACAGTGCATGTAGTTTGTGTTGTAGGCAGTATTCATTGGATCCAATTTTTTTAAAAAAAACAGCTTGGATGGGTTACCAATGATGAATATTTACCCAGCTAGAGTTACTATTTTGCTATGCTGATACTTAAAGTAGTGAAAACCATTAGCGATGATCATTTCCAGTTTTCTGCCAAGGTACCAATTACTCTCTTAATATCATTTCATAAATGTAGGATGATGCTCTTTACAACTTGAATCTTGCCTTGGAGATTGCAGAAAAAAAACTGGATATCCCCAAGATGCTGGATGCTGAAGGTAATTTGCATTTCACTGTCCAGTACTGTTAGATTACTGATGCTGTACAACTCCATTAGCAATGAACATATCTGGAGGTATATTGCAGATTGACTAGAATAAAAGAAGGATGATACATGTTGTCTTTATTATCTTGACTGTTTACAAGGCAATAACTGTGATGTAATGTGATGTAATGTAATGTGATGGTCCCTGAGCTCTTTTCCAAAATCCCTGTTTTAGTAAAACATAACATTTTCTTTCCAAACAGATATAGTAAATACAGCAAGACCTGATGAAAGAGCTGTTATGACTTATGTATCCTGTTACTACCATGCATTTTCAGGTGCACAGAAGGTGAGGTCAAGCCTAGAGACCACCTCTGACCTTTCTATCTTGAGCCTTCTGACCTCCAGCTTTCATTTCTTACCTGTGTCATAGTTTATACATTTTTCAGTGTATTTTAGATTCTTTGTATTTGTCTTCCCTTTCTGCTACTGCATTGTTCCTACATTATTCTTTTCAATTCCTAGCACTGTTGTGATGTTCAATGGTACAGCATGTTTTCCAAAATCTTAATTTCATTATGGTCTGACCAATGGTTGGCAGTGTCTCATCAGTTACTCTTTTAATGGACTATCAAGTTAGAAGGAGCATTTATTCATCTTCTTGTCAACGCTATGTATTCTCCTAGGTTTGCTTCACCGTTGAATAAAGCTAAGTCATTGAGGTATCTACCAAACTACAACCCTGCCATGGTCAAACAAAACCTTGTTCATTCAGTCCTTGTCTATTCAATCCCTGTTCTTACCCTTTCCCTTCTCCTCCCATCTTTATTCTCCTCTCCTCTAGATATTGTAAACACGCCGAAACCTGATGACAGGGCTATTATGACATACGTTTCATGTTTCTATCATGCTTTTGCTGGAGCAGAGCAGGTACTCTCCACACATTAATTACTGTAACGTTCTGGTGCCTGCAGTGTTTGTGTGCATTATACTCCAACACTAAACCTTCCTCTCTTCCCCTTCCCCATCTCCACTTCCAAAATGCCTGTACGTTACATACATCCACTCAGCATAGGAAACCTAGGAAATCAGGAGCAGGTGGAGGCCATTGAGCACTTGGCAGATCTTTTATTTCCATGTCCTACCCTTTTGCCAAACTTCTTAATAGCTCTTGCATCTGTCTAACTCTTGCTTAAACATTCCTATTGATTCTATCTCTTCAGCTTTCTGGAGCAGAACCTTCTGGGTCGAAAAAATGCTTACCTCAGTTGTACTTGTCTTGTTTCTGATTTTGTAATGGATTCCTTGATCAGGGTGGCAAAGATTCATTCACCATCAATTCCTTTCATTATATTAAATACCTCAATCAAACTCCTTTGCTCTAATGAATATAACCACAGGCTATCTAACCTCTCATCATAGGTAAACCAGGTATTAATGCAGTGAACCGTTGCTGGGACACCCTTCACAGTTGTATAGGCACAGATGTCTGGCTCTACCTTACTCAAGTGGTTGTGTGTCTTTCAAGACTGTGCGCTCTATCCCACTACAATTGCTAAATCCTATTACAAAGCGAGTAAAGAAAAGGATATTGTTCTCAACCATCGATGCATAATTTTCTATTGAAGCAAGTGCTAATGGAACTGCAACTGAAATCTAGATTGCAGCTGGTGTCAGGAGTGAGACACTAGCACAGTTTGCACTGGCTCAGCTCTGACTTATACTGCATGTTTGTTAGTCAATCATGCCAATTTACTTCCAACTATGCAGTAATAATACAGGGTAGACTTCATTCAATAAAGAAAATTGTTGTTCAAGAGATAATTTTAGTTAAAAACCAAGTTGATGCTGGTAAATTCTGCAACCACCTGTCAAGGTACAATACTTGGCTTCTGTTCACCTGTGAATTATTGGGTATTCCCCACAAAGTTGATTGTTGTGTAAATGGACCATTTACTCAAGAAGTCTCAATGCAATCAACTTTGTGGATTGGGTTATCCATGTTCATATGTACAGAGTGATTTGCAGGAGTCCTTAATTCCATAGTTAACATCCATTCCAGATTCATCTGTAATCCAGCTCATTTATTGTCAATCATATAATTAAGGGCAGCTGTAAATTTTTCTATGCATCTGCACAAGGTTAGCACAACTCGCAAATTAGTTGCCATTGTCCTAAACAAAGGTCAGGGTTGAAAAATTCAATTTGCTGAGGTTCATTGATCATATTAACTCTCATGGCATTGAATCATGGTTGAATGATTTCCAACCCCCCTCCCCCACCCCCCCACCCCCATCATCACCTGACTTAGAATATTTTGAACATTTACCAAACTCTGAATAAAGCTCAAAAAAAAATTTTTCTCAATATCTGTCCTGAACCGGTTCACTAATATCACATGATGTCCTCGGTTTCAAACTTTCTTGTCTTTCTTTAAAGTACTAGTTTGTCTTTACTTGATTTATGCCTTTTACTAACTTATATTTTGGGGTTTCCAATAATCACCTTTTTTCTAGCCTGTAATGATTACGTTTCTCTAATATGCCTTCCCAAATCAATCCTTTACACTTGGCATCAGTCTTGTTGCTCTTTCCTGTAATAATGTAACATCTTTTATTTGGCATGGTGACCAAAACTGAACATACATCTTGTCTAAACAGTGATGGATTGTAAAGCTTTGGTATAACTTCTATACCTTCTACAGTTCTGCCTTTAACCTCTCATCTTTATCCTCTCTCTTCTATTGTTGCAGCACATTATCCTTGTAGTCTAAACCAGCTTATTGTATGTTTTACTGTTTTATCATGTAACGCCCATGCCTTCTGTCTCAATAATGCCAGTGTTTGTCAATCTAGGCTGAGATGGCAGCCAACAGAATATGCAAAGTTCTGGTAGTGAATCAGGAAAACGAGAAATTGATGGAGGATTATGAAAAACTAGCCAGTGAGGTAAGCTGAGAGTTGTGCCAGATATGTGAATGTATTTTACCCTTTATTTTTTATATCATCTATTGCTTTTGAAATTAAGAATTTTAGGTGCCCGTCCAAGATCTATAGAACAGAAGAGGACCGAGGTAGAAAAGTTGAGATATATCAATTAATGGCAATCGGGTATTGCCAAGCTTGTTTTCAAATTATGAATCGAAAATAATAAAGATTTTATTCGCTGCATAAATTCTAGAGTTTGGGAAGGCCAAGAAAACCAAAAATCTACCCCTTGTCAGAACTCAAAGCAAACTGGGCAGTTTATTTTAGTGACAATTTAAACTTTGTAATTACCAACTTGGCTCAGTTGGTAGCACAGTCAGAAGGTTGTGGATTCAAACCCCACATTGAGACTTTGAACTCATGTAGGCTGGGCTAGCATTGATGCAGTGCTGGGATGCGTCAGAGGTGCCGTCCTTCGGATGAGTTGTTAAACTAAAGGTCCCATCTGCCTCTTCGGGTGAACATTAAAGATCCCACAGTACTTTTCCAGAAGAGAAGAAGGTTTCTCCCAATATCCTGGTTAATAATTCCCCCAAAATTAAAAATGGTTATTGACTTTATCATGGGTGTTTTGGGGACATTGCTGTGCACAAATTGACTGCAGCATTTGCCTACAAAATACAGTCACTACACTTTACAGTAAATCTTGTGATGTTCTCACATTGTGAAAGGTGTATCAAATGCAAGGATTAATATTTTATTATTAAAGCAAAATGTGTATTTTTCTTGGGAAAAAAATGGCATAAAATTTGGCTTTAAATGTAGGACTGCACAATCTTAAATATTTAAGACTATACTCTTAAGACTAAGATCATGAGAAGTGTTGGGTGTCTGATATTTGAGGATATATCAGACAGCATGTGAACATTCATAATTCTTTTTGTTTCAACTTTATTCTAGCTTTTGGAATGGATCCATCAAACTATTCCCTGGCTGGAAAATCGGGTGCCGGAAAAGTCCATGCAGGCCATGCAGCAGAAGTTGGAGGATTTCCGAGACTACAGGCGTCTGCACAAACCACCCAAAGTGCATGAAAAATGCTATCTTGAGATCAACTTCAACACTTTGCAGACCAAGCTGAGGATCAGCAGTAGACCGGCATTCATGCCGTCTGAGGGGAATATGGTTTCAGTAAGCTAAGTTAAATCCATGTTACAGACTGAAATCTTCTTGGGTGAAAAAGAGTGCATGCATATTTTACTTGAAATATTGTTTACAAGAACTACTTAACAGGATAGAGCAAGTAAATCAAGAATAATGCTTTCAGATACATTAAGACAATTGGACAAGCGAGATAGAATAGTGTAGCATTGTTTATTATTTTTCATTTGTTTTAGTGTGGAAAAACAATGGCCTTTCCAATCCTGTACATTCCTGTTTAAGGTTTAGACGGATTGCTGGGTTGTTAGGATACGTGGATCAAACAGTGTGTTGATCCACAAAATACAAGTTACTCCACTTTACAGTATATCCTGTGAAGCACTTTGAGACATCCCTCTGATGTGAAAGGCACTGTAAGGATGATTATTATTTTATTTATTATTATTACTTGACAGAACATGATGGTTCCTCGGCTGATGAAATAGAAATATCATCTGTTATACAACAACAACAACAAAATTACATTTATAGAGCACCTTTCACTTAGGGAGGACGTCCCAAAGTGCTGAACAGTCAGGTGTCGGGGCCTGAGCATGAGGGGAGGGGTGGTGTAGTGGTGAGGGAAGGCAGAGAGGTGGGAGGGAGACCAAAGACACAGTCGAAGAGAAGGGTCTTGAGACCGGCTTTGAAGGAGGCAAAGGAGGAAGCGAGGTGAAGGGACCGGGGATGGAGTTCCAGAGTGTGGGGGCAGAGAGGCTGAAAGCCCGACCACCGATAGTAGGGTGGGTCGGGTGGGAGACATGGAGCAGGTCGGAGCCCACTGAATGGAGAGAGCGGGCAGGTTGGTAGGGAGTCAGCAGGTTGGAGTGGTAGGAGCGGACAAGGCTATGGGTGGCCGTAAAGGTGAGGACAAGGATCTTGAACTCGATCCTCTGGGGGATGGGGAGCCAGTGGAGTCGGGGAGGGTGGGAGTGGTGGGGTCATGGAGCCTGGTGCACGAGAGTGCACAAGCTGCAGAGTTTTGGATGATCTGCAGCTTGTGAAGGGAAGAGTTGGGAAGGCCGATGAGGAGGGAGTTCCCGTAATCGAGTCTTGATGTGACGAATGCGTGGATGAGGGTTTCGGCAGCCTGAGGGGTGAGGCAGTGGCGGAGTCTGGCAATGTTGCGGAGGTGGTGGTAGGCAGTACCGGTCATGGCGCGGATGTGGGGGAAAAAGGACAGTTCAGGATCAAACAAGACACCCAGGTTCCTGACTGGCTTAGTGAGGTTGAGTGTGCAGCCGTGGAGGCTGATGCTGCCAGCGCCTGAGATGCGGAGGCGCTAGCGCGAGCCAATCAGGAGGGCCTCGGTCTTGCTGACGTTGAGTTGGAGAAAGTTGACCCTTGTTCAGGACTTGACGTTGGATAGGCAGTCGGTCAGGACCCCAGTTGTCCTGTAGTTCAGGGTGGAGGCAGAGAGATAGAGTTGGGTGTCATCCGCATACATATGGAAATTTATCCCATGTCTGCGGATGATGTCACCAAGGGGGAGCATGTAGAAGGTGAAGAGGAAGGGACCGAGGACGGAGCCCTGAGGAACACCGCACGAGACGGTGCGGGGGCTGGAGGAGAAGCCATTTGTAGCGACTAAGTGGAAGCGGTGTGTAAGGTAGGACCTGAACCAGCCAAGGACAGAACCTTGAAGGTTGAGATGGGAGAAGAGGCGGTGGAGGAGGATTGAGTGGTCCATGGTGTCAAAGGCAGCGGAGAGGTCGAGGAGGATGAGGAGGCAGAGGGAGCCCTGGTCACACAGACCTTGATCAGAGCAGTTTCCGTGCTGTAGGCAGCATGGAAACACGATTGGAGGGGCTCATGGAGGAAGAGAGAGGAAAGAGCGAAGCTGGGAGGCAATAGCTCTCTCAAGGACCTTGGATAGGAAAGGGAGGTTTGAGATGGGCCGGTAGCTAGATAGCTGTGATGGGTCAAGGGAAGGTTTCTTCAGGGTAGGGGTGATAATGACTGTTTTGAGTGGGGAAGGAACAGTACCAGATGACAGGGAGAGGTTAATGATGTCAGCGAGTAGTGGGGCAAGGAGGTGGAGCTGGGATTTAAGGAGAGGGGTGGGGATGGGGTCCAGTGAGCAGGTGGTGGGCTTCATGGAGGCATCTTCATAACCAGTCCGAGTTAAATGACGAGCCTATAAAGTCAGATTGATGTTCTGGAAATTTTTGTTTAATTAAAAGAGGGGGTAAGAGAGTATTTTGACATTTATTTTCTTAGAAGTTTTACCTGTTGCTGTTCACTTCAGTGTTCAAAACAACCTTTCTTCAGACTACTAGTTTAGCATTTGATGTGATGGCCATTCATTTTGCATTCTGATATTTGCAAACTGGAAGCGGCAATTAATGAAACAAATCTGCTTTGCAAATATCATGTTTTAGTACTCCCTCCACCCCAGCCTATTATTGACTTTAATAGTGAAGTATAATATGGGATATTATAATTAGCTCATAAACAGAACAACACAAAACAACATTTCTATTGCTAGTTCTTATACTTTGCACTTTAGGAGAGTACAGGTGTTTTCACACACAGAGCGAAGAAAGATTAACCACTCCTGGATCTGTTCTAGTGTAACTTCTTGCACTCAGTGCAGTGATCATGGTTGAGCTCTGTTGGTGGGATATTCTCCTGATTGGACTTGGTTTCTGACCAGCAGAGCAAAATGAGGAACAAACGGGGGGGGAATTTAGATGAAGGCTTTATCTCCTCTCTTACGTATCCAGGACATTACAAGTGCCTGGCAGAGTCTTGAGCAAGTGGAAAAGGGCTACGAAGAATGGCTCCTGACTGAAATACGTAAACTCGAGCGCCTGGACCACCTGGCTGAGAAATTCAGACAGAAAGCTGCTATTCACGAAGCATGGTCACAGGGTAAGACAGCACCTGAAAGATCAATGTGACGTTATTGATTTGCTTAGAATGTATACAATCATGGCCAGCGTCAAAACTTACCTCTTTGACTGCATTTTCAGTCATTATTCACCCCCTCCCCCAGCTCAGTTGTCCAGCTAGCAGTGTAAAGCTCTGAGACATTCTTCTCACATGAAAGGCAATATATAAATGTAAATTGTATTCAAATGTTACCGCATAAAAATAGACCAGTTAGCCCAGCTGAACTGTGCTGATATTATTCTCCGTATGGGCCACTTAGTCTAGTTCCACTCTCAAATTGGCAGGATGTGACTAGTGGAGTGCCACAAGGATCAGTGCTTGGGCCTCAGTTACTTACAATTTACATCAATGATCGAGACGAGGACATTGAATGTAACATATCTAAATTTGCGGATGACACTAAACTAGGTGGGAGAGTAAACCCTGAGGGTGATGCAAAAAGATTGCAACGGGATATAGATAGGCTTGGGGAGTGGGCGAGTAGGTGGCAGATGGAATTTAATGTGGGGAAGTGTGAAGTTATTCACCTAGGTAGAAAAAATAGAAAAATAGATTATTTTCTAGAGGGGGAGAGATTAGATAGTGTTAGTGTTCAGAGGGATTTGGGTGTCCTTGTACACCAGTCTCAAAAAGTTAGTTTGCAGGTGCAACAAGCAACTAAGAAGGCAAACGGCATGTTAGCGTTCATTGCAAAAGGTTTAGAATACAAGAGTAGGGAAGTCTTGCTGCAACTGTATAGGGCCTTGGTGAGACTGCACCTAGTGTATTGTGTGCAGTTTTGGTCTCCTTATTTAAAAAACGACATACTTGTCCTAGAGGGGGTGCAGCGTAGATTCACTAGGTTAGTTCCTGGGATGAGGGGACTGACCTATGAGGATAGGCTGAATAAACTAGGGCTATATTCTCTAGAATACAGAAAAATTAGGGGAGATCTTATTGAAACATATAAGATTCTTAAAGGGCTGGATAAAGTAGATACAGAGGGACTGTTTCCCCTGGTAGGAGAATCTATAACCAGGGGTCACAGTCTTAAAATTAAGGGTCAGCCTTTTAGAACAGAGTTGAGGAAATATTTCTTCACTCAGAGTGTAGTGAATTTATGGAATTCACTACCCCAGAAGGCTGTAGATGCTCAGTCCTTAAACATCTTCAAGGCTGAGACTGATAGATTTTTTTAAAAATAGAGGGATTAGGGGATATGGGAATAGGGCAGGTAATTAGAGTTAGGTCTGAAGATCAGCCATGATCTTATCAAATGGCGGGGCAGGCTCGAGGGACCGAATGGCCTACTCCTGCTCCTAATTCTTATGTTCTTATGTTCTAATTTCCTTTTTTTTTAAATTGTGGACTGTGCCCCAACAGCAGTTTATTTTATAAGTGCATTTGATTAATTAATACAATGTATTAATAGGCTGTCAGTGAAAGCACAATAAGCTTCCCGAAAGAGAAAACAAAATTAATGCAACCTAAGTTTCAGTCAGCAGGTTTTTAGGGAGTTGAATGATCTTCACAAGTAGCTCATTGCTACTTCAGTATGCTGTATTTTGAATTTGAATATACATGTTTGTATTTTTCCCAGGGAAAATTGACCTTTTGGGACAAAAAGACTATGAATCTGCATCTTTGACTGAAGTTCGGGCTTTGCTGAGGAAGCACGAGGCGTTTGAGAGCGACTTGTCTGCACACCAAGATCGGGTAGAGCAAATTGCTGCCATCGCACAGGAGCTGAAGTATGTTTCATTAGCAGGAGTGTGCTATTTAACTGATAAACAGCTTTCATTTGATAGTGGAGTCCTGTGGCTCAGTGGTTAGAGCACTCGCTTTGCAAGTGAGAGACCCGAGTTCAATTCCAGGCAGAGGGCGAAACCTTGGGCAAGTTTCCTTACTCCCCACAGAGCCTAATAATAATCCCTCCAAAACCAAAATCAATAATACATTGGTCATTTTCAATCTACGACTGTTTGTGGGACATTGCTGTGCGCAATTGGCTGCCGCGTTCGTCCACAAATATACTGTCAATTTACTTTACAGTGTGTTCTGTGAAGCGCTTTGGAACGTCCTCCCGACGTGAAAAGCGCTATATCAAATGCAAGGATTATTATTTATTATTGTCACCATGTCGTATTTAAGAATTTGAAAAGCAGTTTTCTATAAGTTCATTATCTTTAAAAGATGTGCATTCCTTTTTTCCAAAGGAAGGTTTTGAAAGTTAATTAAGTTGACATCCAGAATGTTTTGTCGGTATACAGGATTGATTGGTTGTGCCTCTCAATCTTTGATGAGAAATTGTGGAGAAGATTAAGACCATGGTGAAAACATTGGTGTGATCATTCACGTACTCAGCAGCAACCTCATCTTAATATTGTTAAAGTATCCACGTCTGCAGCGCTCCAGCCCCACTGCCCTGCAAGACTTGGACTTGGGGAAGTTCAAATGTTTGCTGAGAAGTTTAAAAAAAGGAAACTGAAATGTTTTGCCCAGAATTGCTGCTGTTGGCATTCTCTTTTGGCTCAATATCCATCATCCGATTCCTTGGGGGTATAAAGCTTAAAATTGCTATAAAACCCATTGTCTGATGAAACCTAAACACAATGTTTGTTTGCTGGGGTGTCGACATCTAGCATGCTTTGTCAGTAGAGAGGATTGTTTGGCATTGTTTGCCTGTTGGTGAGTGACTGCTATGGAGCCAGAATGGGCCGAAACGTTCCATCTCTTATTTACTGAATTAATTGATCTCAGCCTGTGCAATTCAGCACGTGGGGCTGCAAGGGTCCTCTATTGTAAAATAAATTGTTAAATAATTGAATTCCATAAATAAAAAATGGATGATTTACATAAGTAAAACCTTTGCAATAGTGTATCATATTAACGATTAGACCATGAACTCAAACCCAGCTTCATAAGTTTGCCTATAAATTCAAAATAGCTACACTTTATAGTAAATCCTGTGAAATGCTTTGATGTGATTCAAACCCATGGTAAGGCACTATATTAAATACAAGGATTATTATTATTTGTCAATAAGCACAGTCGAATAGACTTATGTTTGCAATGATCTCTGGAGATGAAAGGATTACAGTTCTACATTTTTTGTTAACTTTTTGTTTTAAGTGAACTAGATTATCACAATGCCATTGGAGTAAACGAACAATGCCAGAACATCTGTGATGAGTGGGACAAACTTGGGACTCTCACTCAGAAACGGAGGGAATCACTGGAGGTGGGTTATTTGTATGATGCTTGCATGAAGATGAGTAGGTGAAAATACAATGGAGCAAACCACCAGCACAGGTCGTGGAGCAGAAAACTGCGAAGGGTTTCAAATGGGGGACTCAACCCATATCCAGGGTTATTGGATTTTTAGATTGATACTTGGATGACATTTTGTGAGACACTAGATGGGTAGACTAGATAGAATGATAATCTGTGGTGTCTGAAATTACATTAACATATTTTGTGCTCTGGTTCCACTTATTTTGAAATGGAAAAACTAATAGCTTTGTTTCCCTATATTTTCCTCTCCGTGTCTTCTGCCTAGACCTTGAAGCTCTGCAGCTAGGGGAAAAAGATGTGTTCTCTGCTCCTAATGTTAATCTTACAATAAATCCTGTGAAGCCCTTTGGGATATCCCGCTGACGTGAAAGGCGCTATTCCAAATGCAAGGATTATTATTATTCATTAGCTGTATGTTGGTGGGGAGGGGTGGGGGAGAGGGAGGACAATAATCTGTTAGGGTCCCTTGTGCAATTTTTTTTTCTGTATGCTCTAATCCTCGCCACACAAGAAGGTAGAGATAAAAAGCTCAGCATATCTGTGTTTTTTTGCTAAAGCTGTATGTTGCCACTCCAGCATTACCACAGGTGGCTTTAAAATGTCTGGAGCATACTGTGCTTATAAAAAAAACTTCATTGTGTTATTGCATTTCTTCCCCCCTCCACCCTTTTGTTTAACCATGAGCAGAGGACTGAGAAGTTATTGGAAACCATGGATCAGCTGTATCTGGAGTTTGCAAAAAGGGCTGCTCCCTTCAACAATTGGATGGAAGGAGCCATGGAAGATCTGCAGGACATGTTTATTGTTCATACTATTGATGAGATTCAGGTACAGTAGGTTCCAATGTGTTTTGAATCTTGTAGCTAACTGGGAAGTACATGGGTAGAGATATAAAGCAAGTTTTTAAGAGGAGAATTGTCACAGATAGCAAATAATTATTTAAAGTAAGAGGGAGGGCATTGGAAGAGTTATTGAGCTGGATGGTGTAAGAGGGCTAAATTAATGCACCATGTTGCAAAGACAAGTTGAGTGAATTCCTGGGGTTAATGTCTAATCCCCACTGATGTTAACTCAGTGCCACAGCAACTCATTGCCAAATAGTTGGCCACACCTAAATCAAAAATACTTTATCCCCCCAAAAGGTTAAAAAAGATGTAATATTTATTTGTAAAGATGTAAACTCATTTCTCTCTCTCTCCTCCCCTATGTGTGTGGTGACCAGTTTGGGTAGGGCTGTTGAGCGCCTGCCCCCTTAGTAGAATAGCCTGGCAAGCACCCTTTATGGGCTCACGCACAAAGAACATCTGTAAGATATCAAATGCTACTATTATTATAATAACCAAAGCAGATGTTTTTCATTTTATTGCCATCACAACATTCACTAGCAGGTTGAAGTGGGTACATATTTGACGACGGTCGTAAAATATGTTGCGTAGGATAATGTATAATGCTGTAGAAATACCCAGTCTAATGTTTCCTTTCCCTGCCCCTCATCTCTTTTTATGTTTAGATTTTGATAACAGCACATGAACAGTTTAAAGCCACCCTGGCGGAAGCTGACGCTGAGAAGCAGGCCATTCTGGGAATTCATAACGAAGTGCAGAAGATTGTTCAGACTTACAGTATTACAGCGACTTGGTCAGATCCTTACAGTACCATATCCCCTGAAGAAATCCGTGCCAAATGGGACAAGGTATCGCCAGACAAAATATTCTCGCAAACAATCAAATCAGAAACAGCAGCGGGTACTTATTTGCTTTGAACAAAGGGAGCAGTTCTTCCTGTCTGCTGAATGTAGTCTGCTTTCTTCGATAGAATATGGAGTTTGTAAAGAGTAAACAGAAAGGGGGAAGATTGCTTAATAGCAGCACACACCAGTGAAGTAATGTACTGCAGAATCTCGGGTTCTCTCCTGCAGTATTCTCACACACTCCAGGCACAGAGCAACATAGACAGATGTATCTAAGGTCATATCCCTGACTGAGGCTTGATGGGTGAACAGGTTATCTGCACTAATAGCTGAGAAATGTGTGAAGATATTATAGAAGGGATGCAGAGGCACTGGAGAGAGTGCAAAGGAGATTCACAAGGATGATCCCAGAACTGAGAGGTTATACCTATCAGGAAAGGCTGAACATACTTGGACTCTTTTCTCTTGAAAAGAGGAGGGTAAGGGGTGACCTGATAGAGGTCTTTAAAATGATGAAAGGTTTTGATAGGGTAGACATAGGGAAGATGTTTCCACTTGTTTGGGAGACTAAAACCAGGGACCATCAATATAAAATAGTCACAAATAGATCAAATAGGGAAGTTAGAAGAAATTTCTTCACACAGAGAGTAGTGGGAATGTGGAACAATCTACCACAAGGAGTTGTTGAGGCAAATAGCATAGATGTATTTAAGGGAAAACTAGACAGGTACATTAGGGAGAAAGAAATAGAAGGTTTTGCTTGTAGGCTTAGTTGAGGAAGGGCAGTAGGAAGCTCGTGAAGCATAAACACCGGCATAGACCAGGTGGGCCGAATGGCCTGTTTCTGTGTTGTATATTCTCATATATTCTAATGTGTAAAGGGCACAGGAAATATCTAAAATCATACCCCACCTCAAACAGAGTAAGAGGCATCATATATGGAGAGCGGTGATTAATTACATTCCATTAATCTTGTTTGATTTCATTACAATCGGTCTTAAAACTAAAGCAAAATCAATACAGTATGAATCCAGGGGGAAAAAAACTGTGTAATGCAATGCCTTACAAGGCTGTAAAGGCAGAATAAATTGAGGTGTTTAAAAGGTATATGGGCAAATACTTGCGAAGTAAGGGTATTAAGATTATGGGAAATGGGATTTAATAAGATAGAGAACTGACAGTAAATAAATTGTAGAGCAGACTTACAAGGCGGAATTATCTACTCCTGTTCCTATTATTGTAGTAAAGGACACACGAGCAGAGAAAGTCATGTAACAGGTTTTATTTTGTACACAAATGAGTGTTGTTTATTTCTTCTGTCCATCATCAGTGCACTATTTTGTTGTATTTATTGGTGTAGGTTAACCAGCTGCCTCTAAGGAAAATATCTGATTTATTACTGTTCAATACAGATGTAGCACATGAAGTGGATATTTGATCTTATTTTTCACTTTTCAGTGATGGGTCTGGAAAAACCAACAGGTTTGTTCTATTGCGCACATTGTGTAAACACAGCTGTATTGTGCACCATGTTAGCACTTGCACAGAGGGACTTACAGGCATCTTTGAATAACACATGAAAATGATGTATTGATTGTGTAATTACAACCATTCTTTTTGATTTTCATTGCAAAAACCCAAAAGGAACAGTGATTCCTATGTATACTTGCATTTAACATACGGTGCATGATACAGCTGCGTTTACAGATGGTTCACACACCATCCATAACTGAAGACAGATGTTCACTAGTGTTTGATGAGTAGATTAGCAAATTTAGATTACATTGAATTGAAGGTAAATCATGTTAAATGGCAGGTGAAACAGTTGGTGCCACAGAGAGACTCCGCCCTACAGGAGGAACTTGTGAGGCAGCATTCCAACGAACATCTGCGTCGCCAATTTGCTAACCAGGCCAACATCATCGGACCGTGGATTCAGCGTAAAATGGAGGTAAGATAAACATGTGGATTACCTTTTATAAAAACAAACTCTTTTTTGAATATCATATTGAGTGATTCACAATTTAAAAATAATTTAAAAAAATTCTATGTTTTCTTTTATATATTTTGCCTTAAAAGAACTGATTCCATTTTAAACATTGTGGATGGTGATTTACGATTTGATCACGACCATTCCCCCTATCCCACCACCCTTTCCCTCCCCCCACCCAATCCACCATCCCATCGTGGGTTGAGGTGACAATATCCGTGCCCTTGAACGCAGTGAGGATGGAGCCCAAGATGACTTCTGACACTATTAAAACAACTTGCATTTATATCACGCCCTTCATGCAGAGAAGCATCATAGAGCACTTAAATGTATTGTCTCAATATCTGCAAGGCACATTAACAAGAGAGAGAGTAGCCTCTCAGAAAATATATCAAGGTTTTTCGGATATCACTTAGCAGTAATCCAATTTAAGTTAAATTGTTTGACAGTTGCAGATTACCTCAGGCTAACTTTCCCTTAAAATGCAGCGAGTTCCAATATAGTTAAAATATCATGAAGGAATACAGCAGAATTCACATTGTGGGCTAGACTTCTGTGATTTAAACCCATATGATGCCACTTCCCAAAAGAATCCCTTGGCGAAAGCTCTCAACTTACATAGTCTTTTAACAGTCACTTTTTACTATAAATTCAATATAATAACCTTTGGGGCAAGAAGGCAAAGGTCTAATTATTTTCTCAAAATGAAATATTTCAAAATTACAAAAAAGTCTTTACATTCAGTCTTAAATTAGAAGCTAATTTGTTTTATGAACAGGTTTCCAAATTAAGAATGAATTTAAGAAGTTCCCAAATTCTGTGCCTTCTAAAACTTTAGACAAAATTGACTTTCGGACTAAGATGGAATTTCAGGCCTCAACTATGTACCCTCCACTACTCTTTTTATTCCCAATTGTTACCCAATTTCAGAATAGTTTTATACAAAATTCCAGATAAAATATTCCAGTAAACAATCTGTGTGCTTTAGTGTTTGTTGCACCAGAAGATAGTGCAAACATGAGAAGCTTGGTTAAAAAGCCAAGTTTCTTAATTCTTAATCTGAACTGTAGTGTTCTTGATGCTCTGTGGTAATTTAAAATCATCTCCAGCATTTATTTGATCAGTAGATTTCTTTGAGCATCTTACAAAAACGCCACATCTTTGACTACCCCTTTGTCACTCCCTCCTATCGCTTACTCTGTTGGAGCTCCCAATATGTCTCTATAAAAGTCCTTTGAAAAATGATCCTATATGAAAGGTGCAAAACGTTATAATAAAATAAAGGGATGTAGACTGGAGTCACAGCTTTAAAATCAGCAGTGGTTTTTATTTCAGTTTTGGATGCACTAGAAAATGACTTTGGAATATAAACCATCATAAATTTATAATAATAATAATCCTTGCATTTGATAGTGCCTTATCACGTCTTCAAGATGTATCAAAGCACTTCACAGAATATACTGAAAATAAATGTATATTCTTTGGACAAAACGTGGCAGCCAATTGCACTCAGCAGTGTCCCACAAAAAGTTGTGAATTGAGTGACCAGATTATTTTTTTTTGAAGGAATTATTAACCCCGGAAAAGCGATCCGTCAATCGACTAACAACAACAACAAGATTCCATTTGAGCGCCTTTCACGTCGGGAGGATGTCCCAAGGCGCTGTACAGTTGGGTCAGGACCCGAGCAGGGGGGAAATGGTCAGGGTGAGGGGAAGGAAGGGAGGGAGCGAGGAGGCGGTAGAGAGTCGAGAGGGGAGTTGAAGGAACAGTCAAAGAGAAAGGTCTTGAGACCGGCCTTGAAGGAGGAAAGGGAGGAGGCAAGGCGAAGGCACTTGGATAGAGTTCCTACTTACTGCTAGGTAAACTGAGGCATGTGGAGTAAGGAAACTTGCCCAACATTTTGCGTTGCAGGGAATCAAACCCAAGTCTCTCACTTGCGAGGCGAGTGCTCTAACCGCTGAGTTACAGGACTCCACGTTATATACAGGTGCCTCATTGCTCTTTGGAGGCTTGTTAGCCACTCGTACAATTTAATTTCTGGACATGTTTTATATTTATACAGGAAATAGCCAGCAGCTCCATTGACATGAGTGGACCCCTAGAGGATCAGATGAACAAGCTGAAGAACTATGAGGAGATCATCATTAACTACAAATCCAATGTTGACAAACTGGAAGGAGATAATCAGCTTATTCAGGAGGCTCTCATTTTTGACAATAAGCACACCAATTACACCATGGAGGTACTGGACTAGTGATGTGGTGCCTAGTTTTATTGCAGAAGGGAGTTTTTGGAGTCGCTTATTGTTAAGCAGGAGGTATGACAACCAAGCCTGACCTAATTTGAAATCCATGAATGCACAGCTTCTAGCAGGAATCTCAACTCTAAGCACATTGACTATTTGTGTAAATATTAGTTTAAAAATAATGGCAATATTCATAATCACGACAATATCTACAACATTTTTGTTAGCTACCATCAATGGCAATTATAAAATCAGGGTTTATATCACCCAGGAGAATAAGGCCTAGGTGAGAATGTAACTGAAATCATAAATGAACACCAGCATCTTTTGTGCTCCACTATCCTTGTAGACTTGAGAATGAAGCCTGTGTTATAGCACAGTCCTTGCTAATGTGAGTGTCCTTAACATAACAAATAAAACATGTCAGGAGCTATGGTTCAGAGGTCTTGTAACAGATACAGCGTTTTTAATTGAAAGAATGGCAAGTCATCGAGGTGAAGTGAATTTATATTGTGATGTGTTGCAGCAACAATGTTATAATTTTCCCCTCTCCTGTTTTCGGTAGCACATCCGGGTTGGCTGGGAATTGCTCCTTACTACGATTGCTCGAACAATGAATGAGATTGAGACCCAGATTCTGACCAGAGATGCTAAAGGAATCACCCAGGAACAGATGAATGAGTTCCGAGCTTCATTTAACCATTTTGACAGGGTACAGTGCTCCGTTTATCCATTTCAGTGTCTTATTAATGGATGCCAAATGTTGATTTACAATAAGATGTTGTGGTGGATCTGTGTGACATGGAGCTCTTGACAGCTGCACAATTGACTGGTCTTGTAGCTTGGTGTAGTATTGAGCTCCAGATAACTGCACCATAAAATCGTATAGCACAGGCTTTCATTTCTGATGTATTGCACACTATGTTCTTGGTTACTGTCAGGCACCAGGCTTTTTCTCTGTTAGGGAGTGATGAAAAGTCAGAGATATTCGCCTAGAATTAGGCTGTAGTGCATTTTGTGAGATATAGTTTGCAAGAAGTGATTAGGGGTGCAGATTGACTGCCCACTTAATCAAATAGGACATGGTACAAGGAGATTAAAACATGGAGCAAACTTACCATAAACCACCTAAAATATAATTGTAGAAGGTTATTCAGTTTCAAATTGTATCAAGAGCAAAATATGCATTTTGGGGGGATTTTTATTTTGTAAAGATTAAATGGGACACGTAAACAGGCCATTGGAGTATTCTGGGAATAGCATTTCACATAAAACATTTTTTAAAGGTATGACTTTGTAATTTGGTCTAAAGTTTATTGACCAGAATGTGAGGAACCATCTAAGTCTGTTTCGGCGAGAACATGTAAGATTATTTATGAGTGATTTTGTAGTTTTCAAGGAGTCTACTGTTTGTTTGATTCAGTTGCACTAAGTATAAGCACGCTTAACTAAACTCACTGAAATTGAACGCTGACCATTAAATTATTGCACGACCAACCAGTATGTTCTGATTCTTTTCTTCTAGTTTCATTAAATCCTCTAACCCCAGGTTCTTTTCGCTGCTGAATGTCGGATGCTATTCCTGCTGCAACATGGCACATCAGATGTTCGTCATTCACTGGTTTACTATTCCTCAGTGTATTTGCCCCTTTGGCCCATTTGATCTCAGTACCAAATTTCTACCCCACCATCCTCCCATTACAGCAACAAGACGTTTCTGAAATGAGTCAGTTTCTTGTTCTTTACCACTTTTCTTGCTAAGCAGTTACAGCTGTTAATCGCCCTTCATGTAAAGAAAGATTTCCTTCTTACCAAATAAATGCATTAATGGAGCACTTGTCTCGCAAATGAGAGACTTGGGTTCGATTCCCAGCAGGGCAAAATGTTGGGCAAGTTTCCTTACTCCACGTGCCTCTGTTTACCTAGCAGTAAGAAGTAACTTGGTTGTTAGTGGATTGGAGGAACACTTTCCGGGGGTAATAATTTTTTTTAAAAAAAATTTGGTTACTTCAATCCACGACTGTTTGCAATTGGCTGTTGCATTTCGCCCACAAAATATACAGTCAATTCACTTTACAGTATATACGGTGAAGCGCTTTGAGACATCTCGAAGATGTGCTAAGATGCTATGTCAAATGTAAGGATTATTATTATTAAACACTTAACTTTTAGCATGGAACTTACCATTCATTAATTGAGTACTTTGTAATTTTTCTCATCTTTCTTTAGTTCGGGATAGATGCTGTATAAGTGTATGTGCCCATTGCATGCTGTAACTAATGTGTGTGTGATACTAGGATGAATCTGGCATTCTGCGACCAGAGGAATTCAAAGCTTGCCTCATCAGCCTTGGTCATGTTGGAAATGATCAGCAGGTACTAACCAAACTGTGATGTTTATTTTCTACATACAAGTAAAAAGGTGCTAAACTTGTTTCTTTTTTTTCCTTTCTCAACCTCTGTGTTTTCCTGTCTTTGTTGATATTCTTTTTGGTCTTTGCTTCGCATTTGTGCCCTGGTTGTTCCTTTCCTGTTTGATTTGTTTGTGTGTCAGTGACTCCCTTCCTGCTTCTCACCTGCCCTGAATTTGGAATTGCTGTATCCTCGGACTCTGAATGACCTTTTGACTCTTTCCGATATGCTGCCTCTTCACCCATTGCACCATGGGCTCCCGATCTGTCTGCTGGAAATCCCTCAATCCTCCACCTGTTCCTTTACTTGCTGATCTACTCAATAGAAGAAAAATAAGGCAATGGAGCCAGATGACCTCCGAGCTTGTCTCATCTCCATGGGCTTTGATCTGGTATGATAGATGCAAGTTTAATAATTCTGATGTTACAACTGTCAGGATTGGAGGTCTAATTTTGCAACACAAATTCATTGTCACTTCTAGTTACAAACAAAAGTTATTTATTTTGTGTTAATTCACAAAACAGTTACTTGCAAAATCCAAATACTGACAATATGCAGTGAAAAATATCCAGAAAGCTGGTGGTTTGGTCTTCCGGCTTTTGTAACTTACATTTAACCATTTTAAAAGTTCTTTGGATTCTGGAACGGTTCCCATTGATTGGAAGATCGCAAACATCACACCACTATTTAACAAGGGTGGGAGAGAAAAGATGGGGACCTATAGACCAGTTAGTCTGACATCGGTGGTAGGGAAAATTCTAGAATCCTTAATTAAGGATATCGTAGTGGGATATTTAAAGGATCACAATATGACAGAATCAACATGGCTTTACACAAGGGAAGTCATGCTTAACAAATCTTTTAGATTTTTTTGAGGACATATCAAGTAGATTAGATAGGGGGGAAATCAGTGGATGTAGTGTATTTAGATTTCCAAAAGGCATTCGATAAGGCGCCGCATAAAAGGTTGATCCACAAGATTAGGGCTGTAGATGCTCAGTCCTTGAACATGTTCAAGACTGAGATTGATAGATTTCTTGTGGATAAAGGGATTAAGGGATATGGGGATAAGGCGGGTAGGTGGAGTTAGAATAGATCAGCCATGATCTTATTGAATGGCGGGGCAGGCTAGAGGGGCCGAATGGCCTACTGTTGCTCTTAATTCTTATGTTTCCCTGGCGCCCCCCAAACCCAACTGTCTAGATCCTCAATGATGCCTTTATCATCACCAGCATTTATTACTCTAACACCTTGGTTGCTGGACTCCTCAGATTCTCTCTACGCATGTAGTAGACTATCCAGAACTTTGCAGTCCTCATGACCTCTCCCACATTGACCTCCATGAGCCTACTGTCGCAGTCCTTGCTAGGTTCACCATCTCCCAAATGTCTGGATTGAAGTCAACATCCCTCCATGACCTTACCCAACCCTGTCTGGAAACTCAAGAGCCCCTGCCATTCCCTCTGCTCAGTAAACACTGGCATGTCAGTCTCTCTGCCCCCCATCGCACCCCCCCTCTAAAACTCCATCCTGGATTCCCTCCCATTCTTTCTCTGCCTTCAAATCTGCCACAAGACCCATCTGTTTGACAAGGTATTGACTACCTTTCCCCTCCTTAGCTGCCCCCCCTTTACCCCCTGCCACCCCCCCCCCTCCCCCAAGCTCAGGCTCCCATCAGTTTTATGAAGTGGTGGGAAACGTCCTCCCAACATTGAACGCACTATGTAAATTGTTGACTTTCAGTGGCTGAATTCTGCTGCCTTCACTTTTAAAAATGACATTCCAGTAGAAATCTATGTCTTTTTATCATTTGGTGAACATTTCCGCCTAAATCCTTTCTCAAAATAATTGTGTTACTTACATTTATATTCACTGGGTGAGAACCTTGGCTGGATAAAGGAAATCAGGGCCTTGGGCAGCTCAGTAACATGGGCTGCTCATCGCTCTTATTTGTCGTTTTCCATTTGTAATCTGTGACTCTTCCATAGGGTGAGGCTGAGTTTGCTCGCATCATGAGCATAGTTGATCCGACCAGCACTGGCATAGTGTCCTTCCAATCCTTCATCGACTTCATGACCCAAGAAACGGCTGATACAGATACATCCGAGCAGGTCGTGGGTTCCTTCAGGATTCTGGCAGGGGATAAGGTGAGTCTGTGATCTGTAAATAGGAAATGTTAGAGTAGAAAAGGATGTATTTTTTGTAAAGTACCTTATCAAATCCGATCCTGATGACTCCTTCAGCAGGACATCATCAACAGTTAATCACTGAACAGAAACTGTAGCTAGCTCATGCTGTTTTAAACATCAAAAGAGCATTGATGCGCTCTAGAGAAGAATGACTAGATTGATTCAGGCACATTGAAGGTATACTTAGTCTCAGCCTGCAAGAGTTTGTCCAGAGGGGTCAATTGTCTGGAATTGTGAAAAGTTATTTTCTTGATTGATTTATGCCACTTCCAGCCATGGGTTGGGCACCACTTCACTGCACCATTGAGGCTGCCCCAGTCCTTACAAGTCTAAAATTATGACAGTAACCTCAGAGATGAACTTGTTTAGTTTAGAAAAAGGACTCAAGGGGCAATGATCCCTTTTTTTCAAATACATATTGAAATGGATAGATAAGATATATGAGTACATTGTTTGATTTGTAACTGTGGAACAGAGCAAGAGAATTTGGGTTTAAAATAAGAAAGCACTAGAAGTTGGGCATTTATCCCAAAAGAATAGTGGATATTTAAAACAGAGCCAACCAAAGCAGATTACTGTCTGGTGAGTCATCTTCATTGAAGAGATTTGCTGAGGAACAGTATTGGAGGTTACAAGGATATTGGAGAATGAGAAACTCCAAGAGGATGCAATAATATTTGTGTTGCTGGTAATAAGGGGATGAATCTTGCCCTTGAGGAGGTTGAATAATGATGCAATAGTGGAGATTTTGTTTAATTATCCTCATGCGAAACAGAGCGTTATTGACCGTGTTTCCCCGGAAGAGAGTGTGTATATTGGAAGTCTAATTATTTGTTTGAAATATTGCTATGTCTCACCACAAAGTCACCTGTTTGCTTGCAGCCTTACATTCTAGCAGAGGAGTTGCGTCGAGAGCTGCCCTCAGATCAGGCGGAGTACTGCGTCGCTAGAATGCCATGTTACACAGGTCCAGGTAGCGTTCCAGGAGCCCTGGACTATATCTCATTTGCCACTGCACTCTATGGTGAAAGCGACCTGTAACTAGGATTCAGAAGCAGAGCATTTCCTTTCTTTCCAATGCAAGTTTCATCATTTGGTTTTCGAAGGCTGAATTATTTAGTAATTGAAAAGATAGTATGATCGCCAAGTTTGAAATGTTAGAGTGAACCTCCTTTTTTAAAAGGAAATCGATGAAATATGGTTTGCAATACCAGCACAATATAATTTAAGTACCATATTCTTGAATTCCATCAATCTATCATTTTAAAAACATTACAATGATTTGCGAGTACCTGTGTCACTGTAAATTCTGATGTCGAAACCATTTCATTTTGAATCTCTACGTTTCCATTGCTTAGTTTATCATTAGTTGTGTGTGAAAACATAAATTTTCTCTTTACAAACTCGATCCTTTCTGCGTAGACTAAATGATCTGACAATGACCTAAATGACTGAGGAATTTGTAAATTCTATTGCAATCTTTCCAAAGGAAAACATAAGTACAGTATTCCTCAGCACCGAAGTGATTGCACTCGCTGGTCCTTCCAAATGCTATGAAGAATCTCTGGTTTGCATTTTCTATGAACTTCCACATCAGATTTTACAGAATTCACTTTCTGACATTTTAAGAGCATGCTATTTTCTTTTTAAAATATAACAATAAAGTGCAGGCTTTTTGTATTGACAAACAGTTTATGAAAACTTTCAAAGTTTCAGAAAAGTACCTTTTGTCATTGCAATAATACCTATTCTAGAAAGGAACTAAGGACATTTAGAGTTCAACTGACTGCATGTGTAGCACTTTTTCTTATAAAGTTATGTGGACTTGTAAAATATAACAATTACATTTTTATCATTATTGATGCTTCACATTTTATTAAAATGGATACTTGTTAAACTGTCTGACTTATTATTTCAACATATTCCTGTAAATTATTAGTACGGCTCATGAAAATATCTATTTATTATATTCTTAATTTGCTGAAATAAAGACCATTGAATAGCCATATGTTGAGTGGAAAACTATTTTATCAGCAGCCATAGAAATATAATGATAAGGTCCTATATCAAATGCAAGGAATATTTTATTTATACAGAGAGAGAAAATGGTGTACACAAGTCAGAATTCAAAGCGTCTTCCCCCTTCCCATTTTTTCTGTCCATCTTAGCCAATGTTTTGTTTGCTTCCCCTCCCCACCAATCATCTAATTATTCTTCAAGTAAAACCAGAAAATATTAGAAATTCAGGCCAATATATTTCTGTGACCTCTTCAAACCATACTGACCCAAAGGATGACTTCACATTATGGTCTTTCATCCATTACAATAAATCAATGTCAATAAATCAATTCCTTAAGTTTCCCTTGGGACGTCCTCCTGACGTGAAAGGCGCTTTATAAATGGAATCTTGTTGTTGTTGTTGTTAGTTTGCTTGGAAAGCTTGTTTGGGAATTGAACCTTCATACCAAATAAACTTTACATCAGAGGTTGTCTGCTCCTCAGTATTAAAAATGACTTAAAAAATCGACTGCAAATATTAAATGGTTCAATTCCCGGCAGGGTGAAACCTTGGGCAAGTTTCCTTACTCCACACACCTGATAATAATCCCTCAAGAAAAAAAAATTGGTTACTTCAATCCACGACTGTTTGTGGGACACTGCTGTGCGCAATTGGCTGCCGCGTTTCGCCCCAAATATACACTCAATTCACGTTACAGTATATTCTGTGAAGCGCTTTGAGACGTCGAGAAGACGTGAAAAGCGCTTATCAAATGCAAGGATTATTATTATTCACGTGGCAGGCGCCAGCCTGCTCTGTATCCCATGCCCATCGCTATGCTGAAGTGTCCAAACCAGATGGTGAGTCCCATATATGCACGGCATGTAACCGTGGAAAATTCCCTACCTATAGATTTTGCCCCACAGCAAATCTCTACCACCCTCCTCGGGGGTCACCTTGGGGCTGAATTGGCTCCAAGGTGACCTGCCTGGCAACAGAACGTCTGGACCCCGCCAGCCCTCTGTGGCGGTCTGGACCCCGCCAGCCCTCTGTGGCGGTCTGACCCCCGCCAGCCCTCTGTGGCGGTCTGAACCCCGCCAGCCCTCTGTGGCGGTCTGAACCCCGCCAGCCCTCTGTGGCGGTCTGACCCCTGACCCCCGCCAGCCCTCTGTGGCGGTCTGATCCCTGACCCCCGCCAGCCCTCTGTGGCGGTCTGGACCCCGCCAGCCCTCTGTGGCGGTCTGGACCCCGCCAGCCCTCTGTGGCGGTCTGGACCCCGCCAGCCCTCTGTGGCGGTCTGGACCCCGCCAGCCCTCTGTGGCGGTCTGGACCCCGCCAGCCCTCTGTGGCGGTCTGGACCCCGCCAGCCCTCTGTGGCGGTCTGGACCCCGCCAGCCCTCTGTGGCGGTCTGGACCCCGCCAGCCCTCTGTGGCGGTCTGAACCCCGCCAGCCCTCTGTGGCGGTCTGAACCCCGCCAGCCCTCTGTGGCGGTCTGAACCCCGCCAGCCTGGCTCGGCAGCGGGACCGGGAAGGGCAGACCCTTCACTGGGGGGGGGGGCGGGGGGGCAGGGAGTCATCCCACTCCGCTCCCGTTAACCCTGCAGCCGAAGCCCAGACAGAGAGGGTGGTCCCAGCCGGACAAGCAGCCGGAGAGCTCGCCGGGACAGCCGCGTGGACGGCTAAGCTGTGGGGTCCTCTCTCTCTGGGATTCCCGGGTGTAGACGGAACGCTCGGCCACAGCATCCGGGCCGCCACTGAGCGGGTCACACGCGCCTGCGCACTGGTATCTGCGTGTGTGTGTGTGTGTGGACTGGCGCTTGCGCACTCGAGGCCGCATGGGCAGAGTCCGGCACCTGCGCACTGGAGTCTGTTGGTGGGGCGGGGACAGCGCCTGCGCACTGCGGAGTGTGCGGGTGGCCGGGCTGGCGTGTAGCGGCTGCCGCGCGGCGCGTGAGTCACTGTCCCTCTTGCACACAGCGGCCCGAATGGCGACCAGCACCGCGAGAGGGGCGCAGAGAGCAAGTGAGTGACCTCACCCGGTCCGCGAGACACACACACACAGCGCGCGGCAGCCACGCACAGTGACGCCTGTCACTCACCAGCGCCTGTCAATCACCACCATCACACCAGCGCCTGTCAATCACCACCATCACACCAGCGCCTGTCAATCACCACCATCACACCAGCGCCTGTCAATCACCACCATCACACCAGCGCCTGTCAATCACCACCATCACACCAGTGCCTGTCAATCACCACCATCACACCAGCTCCTGTCAATCACCACCATAACACCAGCGCCTGTCAATCACCACCATCACACCAGCTCCTGTCAATCACCACCATAACACCAGCGCCTGTCAATCACCACCATCACACCAGCTCCTGTCAATCACCACCATCACACCAGCGCCTGTCAATCACCACCATCACACCAGCGCCTGTCAATCACCACCATCACACCAGCGCCTGTCAATCACCACCATCACACCAGCGCCTATCAATCACTCTCATCACACCAGCGCCTGTCAATCACCACCATCACACCAGCGCCTGTCAATCACCACCATCACACCAGCGCCTGTCAATCACCACCATCACACCAGCGCCTATCAATCACTCTCATCACACCAGCGCCTGTCAATCACCACCATCACACCAGCGCCTGTCAATCACCACCATCACACCCAGCGCCTGTCAATCACCACCATCACACCAGCGCCTGTCAATCACCACCATCACACCAGCGCCTGTCAATCACTCTCATCACCAGCTCCTGTCAATCACCACCATCACCAGCGCCTGTCAATCACCACCATCACACCAGCGCCTGTCAATCACCACCATCACACCAGCGCCTGTCAATCACCACCATCACACCAGCGCCTGTCAATCACTCTCACCACCAGCACCTGTCAATCACCACCATCACACCAGCGCCTGTCAATCACCGCACCACCAGCGCCTGTCAATCACCAGCATCACCAGCGCCTGTCAATCACCACCATCACACCAGCGCCTGTCAATCACCAGCACCACCAGCTCCTGTCAATCACTCCCATCACACCAGCGCCTGTCAATCACCGGCACCACCAGCGCCTGTCAATCACCACCATCACACCAGCGCCTGTCAATCACCACCATCACACCAGCGCCTGTCAATCACCACCATCACACCAGCGCCTGTCAATCACCAGCACCACCAGCTCCTGTCAATCACTCCATCACACCAGTCCCTGTCAATCACCACCATCACACCAGCGCCTGTCAATCACCAGCACCACCAGCGCCTGTCAATCACCAGCACCACCAGCGCCTGTCAATCACTCTCATCACAGTGCCTGTCAATCACCAGCACCACCAGCTCCTGTCAATCACTCTCATCACCAGCTCCTGTCAATCACCACCATCACACCAGCGCCTGTCAATCACTCCCATCACTAGTGCCTGTCAATCACCAGCACCACCAGCGCCTGTCAATCACTCTCATCACCAGCTCCTGTCAATCACTCTCATCACCAGCGCCTGTCAATCACCACCATCACATCAGCCCCTGTCAATCACTCTCATCACCAGCTCCTGTCAATCACTCTCATCACCAGCTCCTGTCAATCACCACCATCACACCAGTGGCTGTCAATCACCAGCATCACCAGCGCCTGTCAATCACCAGCACCACCAGCGCCTGTCAATCACTCTCATCACACCAGCGCCTGTCAATCACCACCATCACACCAGCGCCTGTCAATCACCAGCACCACCAGCTCCTGTCAATCACTCCCATCACACCAGTCCCTGTCAATCACCACCATCACACCAGCGCCTGTCAATCACCAGCACCACCAGCGCCTGTCAATCACCAGCACCACCAGCGCCTGTCAATCACTCTCATCACCAGTGCCTGTCAATCACCAGCACCACCAGCTCCTGTCAATCACTCTCATCACCAGCTCCTGTCAATCACCACCATCACACCAGCGCTGTCAATCACCAGCACCACCAGCGCCTGTCAATCACTCTCATCACCAGCTCCTGTCAATCACTCTCATCACCAGCGCCTGTCAATCACCACCATCACATCAGCCCCTGTCAATCACTCTCATCACCAGCTCCTGTCAATCACTCTCATCACCAGCTCCTGTCAATCACCACCATCACACCAGTGGCTGTCAATCACCAGCATCACCAGCACATGTCAATCACCACCATCACACCAGCGCCTGTCAATCACCACCATCACACCAGCGCCTGTCAATCACCAGCACCACCAGCGCCTGTCAATCACCACCATCACACCAGCTCCTGTCAATCACCACCATCACACAAGCGCATGTCAATCACTCTCATCACCAGTTCCTGTCAATCACCACCATCACACCAGCTCCTGTCAATCACCACCATCACCAGCGCCTGTCAATCACCACCATCACACCAGCGCCTGTCAATCACCACCATCACACCAGCGCCTGTCAATCACCACCATCACCAGCGCCTGTCATTCACCAGCACCACCAGCGCCTGTCAATCACCACCATCACACCAGCGCCTGTCAATCACCAGCACCACCAGCGCCTGTCAATCACCAGCACCACCAGCGCCTGTCAATCACCAGCACCACCAGCTCCTGTCAATCACTCTCATCACCAGCTCCTGTCAATCACCACCATCACACAGCGCCTGTCAATCACTCTCATCACCAGCTCCTGTCAATCACCACCATCACACCAACGCCTGTCAATCACTCCCATCACTAGTGCCTGTCAATCACCAGCATCACCAGCTCCTGTCAATCACTCTCATCACCAGCGCCTGTCAATCACTCTCATCACCAGCTCCTGTCAATCACCACCATCACACCAGCGCCTGTCAATCACTCTCATCACCAACTCCTGTCAATCACCACCA